TAATTTCACAAGGGTTTTGTTCATTTGAGATTTTATGTACAAACAAAAGAAAAGCAAGCATGCTAATGTTTGAACAGATTGACACTTTTCAATTTTTTTATCCATAATAAATAATCTCGTATGAACTGTGTGCTGATTAATGATTTCTTTTAATTTTATTTTTATTAATTACTGTTTATTCACTTTGTATCCCAGCTACATCCCCGCATCCCAGCTCAATCCCTCCTTCCCTCCCTCTTCTTCTCCTGTGCCCCTCCCTGAGTCCAATGATAGTGGAGGTCCTCCTCCCCTTCCATCTGACCCTAGTCTATCAGGTCTCATTGGGACTGGCTTCATTGTCTTCCTGTGTGGATTGGTAAGGCTGCTCACCCCTCTGGTGGAAGTGTTCAAAGAACCAGCCACGGAGTTCATGTCAGAGACAGTCCCTGTTCCTATTACTGGGGAACCCTCTTGAATACTGATCTGCCATGGGCTACTTCTATGCAGGGGTTCTAGGTTATCTCTATGCATGTCCTTATTTGGAGTATCTGTCTCACAAAAGACCCCTGTGCCCAGATATTTTGGTTCTGTTGCTCTCCTTGTGGAGATACTGTCTCCTTGAGGTCTTTCTATCTCCCCTTTCTTTAATAGGATTCCCTGCACTCTGCCTAAAGTTTGGCTATGAGTCTCAGCATCTGCAAATGAAAAGGACCCTAAGATTTCAACTTATAGCCATCAGAATGGCTAAGATCAAAAACTCAAGTGACAACACATGCTGGAGAGGATGTGGAGAAAGGAATCCTACTCCATTGCTGGATGGAATGTAAACTTGTACAACTCCTTTGGAAACCAATGTCCCTCACTTGTGGAATTGATACAGAAATTGTGGTACATTTACACAATGGAATACTACTCAGCAATCAAAAACAAAGAATTCATGAAATTGCAGGCAAATGGTGGGATCTAGAAAAGATCATCCTGAGTGAGGTATCCTAGAAGCAGAAAGACATACATGGTATATACTCACTCATAAGTTGATATTAGACATATAATATAGGATAAACATACTAAAATCTGTACACCCAAGGAACCTAAGCATGAAGGAGGTCCCTGATCAATCCTCATTCAGAAGGCCAAGGGGCAGACAATGGAAGAGGGAGAAAACAGGGAACAAGACATGACCTTACCACAGAGGGCCTCTGAAAGACTCCACCCCACTGGGTATCAAAGCAGATGCTGAGGTTAATGATCTCAACAAATCATTCATAGTCACAGATTCCCTTCAGTTTGACTTCTGTCAGCTCCACAAAAACTACTGGGATAACACAAATATTTAACAAACTGACTATACACTAAAAGTTTAAAGCTTTTGTGAAATTTTCATAATTGAAAAAGCCAGGTATGCAATATCACCACACTTATTACATTCATAGGGTTACTCTTCAATATGAATATTTCATGTCTTTGAAGATTACTGTGATTTGCAAAGGCTTTACCACATTGCTTATAATTATTGGGTTTCTCTCCAGTATGAGTTATTTCCTGTAGTTGATCATAACTGTAACGTACAAACGCATTACCACATGGCCTACATCTGCAGGTTTTAACTCCAGTATAGATTTCTTTGTGATTCTGAAGACTGCTAAAAAGTTCAATGCCTTTATCAACGTGACAATACTCATAAGGTTTCTCTCCTCAATGAGTTCTTTTATGTCTTTGAACTTGACTGTGATGTTCAAAGGCTTTACCATGCTAATTATATTCATAGTGTTTCTCTCCGGCATGAATTTTTACATGATTTCTGAAGACTACTGCGGCATGTGAAGGCTTGGCCCCATTGCCTACATTCATGCAGATTTTCAGACCTGTCATTTCTGTGCCTTTTGAATAAGATAGAGCCTTTTAAGAAAAAAAATGCCTATTAAACAAAAATAGAGTGTAGCCAAAAGATCCCCAGTAGGTGGTACATATCAGAGAAATAATTTGAATAATTACTATCAAAAAGAAAGTTGTGGAGGCTGGGTGTGTTTTCTCTTGCCTTTAATCCCAACACTCAGGAGGCAGAGGCAGGGGCAGGCATATCTCATTGAGTTGCATGCCAGTCCGGTCTATGCAATGAGTTCCAGGCCAGCCAGTAGTACATAAGGCACTGTATCTCCAGCAACAATCAAACAAAAAGGGTAGAAAGAAGTGGTCTACATTGAAGTCCCTACAAACTCTCATTCCTTCACTACACATCTGTATTCATCTTCCAGAAGCCTGAAGTATCCCAGTTTAAACTTTTACCTTATCAAGATCTTACTCAAAGAGAACATGTATTTCAACAGTTACAGATGGACAGATAAAAACATTACCAATGTTAATACCGACCATAAATAAACACAAGACAGGAAAGCTGGTTCAGCTGCTGATCATTCTGGTTCATCTTGGAGAGGACATGAGCTCAATTGGCATTATTTAAATTGGGCTCAAAACTATGTAATTCCAAATCCTGGGATTTGCAGGCCATCTTCTGACTACTATAAGCACCAGACACATCACATGTGGTGAGCATCTATATGTAGAGACCAAGGACTCATTCATTTAAAAAACAAAAACAAACAAAAAACGAAGTTCAAGGACAGCTTTAGTTGACGTATCTACTTTGAGGATAACGAAGATTTCACAGAGTAAACCCATCTTTTAAAAACAAAAGTTAAAGAACAATGAAAAGAAAAATAAATACATCAGGCTAGCAAAATGCCTTAGCATCGGATGGCAATTGTTTCTACCGTGACTTATGAGGTTTACAAACACAGTCTATAATGGTGAAGGCACGGCATCATGAGAAGGAAGCTGGGCTGGTCAGTTTCAACCAAAAGAAAATAGACAGGATGACCAGAAAATGGGGAGAGGTGCTAGGAACTCCAATCCCACCTCCAGTGAGCCACTTCCCACAGAAAGGCTCTGCCTACTCATGGTTTCCTAAGCACCCCCGAAAAGCTAACCAGCAGAGGTAAGTGTCCAAAGACATCATCCTGACCAGGAGGATTTCCATTCTGACCTGATCACTGTAGGCTCATGGTCATCCCATGGTTAAAATCGTTTATTCTATCTTCAATCATCCTTGCAGTTTGCTAGTCCCAACAATGTTCAACAAAAGTCACAAATGTTTAGTCTCTTTTGACACCCAAAGAAATCTCTTGACTGAAACACATTATAAAATAAAAATATTATATCTTTCTAACATACAGTGCACAGAATACAAATTCATTTTTTTAATTTTTATTTTTGTTCTTCACAATTTAGTCATTATATATCTCAACTGAAGCCCACTCCTTCAACTCCCCCATTACAAAACAAATGTATAGGGATATAATGGGGAGAAATTTAACCAAGGAAAGACTGAATCCAAGCAGGACAAACACCCAATCATGCTTCTCTTACTGAGATACGTGGGGGCTTCAGATTCAAAGGACTTATTTGGCTCATTTTCCCTGCAACTTCTCTCTTTGAATATGGCCACTCCCTATCTGCAGCTCTCCAGAGCAGATGGCTCATACCTTAGGTATCTAAACACTTTGTGGTCTCAAAAGTCAACCTAGGATTCATCCACAAAGCTTCATGAAATTAACTCTTGTAGTCTCCCCTGAGGCTCTAATTCTGACAAACATAAATGGGTGCAAGAGTGCTGAACTGAAACCACAGAGGCAGAATCCATGACCTTTAAATGTTGAAACTTCCTTTTTTCCACAACCACTACAATGTGGTTAATCCTGTTGCATTTGGCTTCTAAATTGTTACAGACCGTACCATGCCCCAAATGACAGCTGTAGCAGGTTCAGTTTAACATTCCTTCAAATAGAAATCACTTAGCCTTCACATTGCATTAATTCAAGGCTGAAGAGGATGGACTGTTATACTGAGGGCACCTTCTTAGGCTTCCAATCCAGAGCAAGGGCCTTCTCTGGTAGAAGTAGATTTTTCTCTGATAATCTCCTTGAAACTTCCTGCCTCTGCTTCAGCATTTGACTGTCATCTGAAAACTACCCATTGTTGTTTTGCTCTACCAACCAGACTTCCCATTTTTTACCCCAGTTATTGCTCGTTTTCACTGTAGATCTTAATAATTCATCAGTAATAACCATCCAGAAGAAACAATAATTTGTATTAAAAAAAAGCTGTGCATTATTTAAACTTCTGCCTTACTTAATTTTGTAGGAAATGGGCAAAGTAACAAACATTTTGGGACAAAATACAACACAAATTGACCTCTAGCTTAATTTTCCTTAGAGTTCCTTTCACACTGAAATCTCTGCATTAATCTCAGCACTCCAATCTTCCAGGTCATAAAGGAGAGATGATGAAGCTCTGGGTACAGCTTTCTATCTCTTTTGCCGTTGAAAGTCCTGATATCTCTCACGTTCTTCTAAAAGACAACATTCTCAGGTGTTTTCAGCAACAAAATCACTTTTGAGGTACCGTTTTGGGTTTTAACTTGCTTCTCTATTGCTTCAAGTAAATTCTCTAATAAAAAGCAACTCAGGTAATGAAGAGATCCATCTGGTTGAGTAACCCAGGTCACAGTGTAAGCAAAACCATGTGTAAACCTTTTCTCCTGGCTTCCTCTCTTGCACTGTGACTATCTACCCCTCCATTACATCTCTACAAAATACATGATAATGCAAAGATTGGATTTTTCATATTAAATACATTCATAAAGTTTCTCTTCAGTCTGAATTCTTTCATGATAATGAAGAATATAAAAATATACAGAAGCTTCATCATATTAAATGTATCCATAGGGTTCCTCCCAGGTTTATTTCATGCCTTTGAAGATCAATGTGACATGCAAAAGCTTTACCACACTGGTTACATATTTAGGTTTCCTCTTCAGTATGTGTTTTATTATGTCTTTGGAGATTACTCTGACACGTAAAGGCTTTATCACATTGATTACATTTGTAGGGTTTTTCTCCGGTATGAGTTCTTTTATGAAGTTGGAAATTACTAAATTGTGAAAAGGCTTTATCACACTGATTACATTTGTAGGGTTTCTCTCCAGTATGTGTTCTTTTATGTATTTGCATACTATTGTGTTGCGAAAAAGCTTTACCACATTGATTACATTTGTAGGGTTTTTCTCCTGTATGAACTCTTACATGCCTTTGAAGATAAGTGTGATATAAATATGATTTATCACATTGATTACATTTGTAGGGTTTCTTTCCAGTATGAATTTTTTCATGCCTTTGAAGATCACGGTGATGTGAAAAGGCTTTCTCACACTGATTACATTTATAGGGTTTTTCTCCAGTGTGTGTCATTTTATGTATTTGGAGTTTACTGTGACATGCAAAGACTTTATCACATTGATCACATCTGTAAGGTGTTTCTCCAGTATGTATTCTTTTATGGATTTGGAAATTACTATGGCGTGAGAAGGCCTTACCACACTGATTACATTCATAGGGTTTCTGTCCAGTACGTATTCTTTTATGTACTTGCAAATTATTGTGTTGCAAAAAAGCTTTATCAGATTGATTACATTTGTAGGGTTTCTCTCCTGTATGAACTCTTTCATGCCTTTGAAGATCACGGTGATGTGAAAATGCTTTATCACATCGATTACGTTTGTATGGTTTCTCTCCAGTATGACTTCCTTCATGTCTTCGAAGATCACGGCCATGTGTAAAGGCTTTCTCACATTGACTACATTTGTAGGGTTTTTCTCCGGTATGAATTCTTTTATGAACTTGGAGATGACTGCATTGTGAAAAGGCTTTATCACATTGATTACATTTGTAAGGTTTCTCTCCAGTATGTGTTCTTTTATGTATTTGCATACTACTGTGTTGCGAAAAAGCTTTACCACATTGATTACATTTGTAGGGTTTCTCCCCTGTATGAATTCTTTCATGCCTTTGAAGATGAGGGCGATATAAAAATGATTTATCACATTGATTACATTTGTAGGGTTTCTCTCCAGTATGAATTCTTTCATGCCTTTGAAGATCATGGTGCTGTATGAAAGCTTTCTCACATTGGTTACATTTGTAAGGTTTCTCTCCAGTATGTGTCATTTTATGTATTTGGAGTTTACTGTGACATGCAAAGGCTTTATCACATTGATCACATTTGTAGGTTGTTTTTCTAGTATGTGATCTTTTATGGATGTGGAGACTACTATGTTGTGAAAAGGCCTTATCACACTGATTACATTTGAAGGGTTTCTCTCCAGTATGTGTTCTTTTATGTATTTGCAAACTATTGTTTTGCGAAAAAGCTTTATCACATTGATTACATTTGTAAGGTTTCTCTCCTGTATGAACTCTTTCATGCCTTTGAAGGAGAGAACGATATGAAAATACTTTATCACATTGATTACATTTGTAGGGTGTTTCTCCAGTATGAAATCTTTTATGAACTTGGAGATGACTTGTTTTTGAAAAGGCTTTACCACACTGATTACATTCATAGGGTTTCTCTCCAGTATGGGTTCTTTGATGTATTCGGAGACTACTAGGATACTCAAAGGCTTTATCACATTGACTGCATTTGTAGTGTTTCTCTCCAGTATGTGTTCGTTGATGAATTTGGAGATGACTGTGTTGTGAAAAGGCTTTATCACATTTTTTACATTTGTAGGGTTTTTTTCCACAATTAATTCTTTTATGAATTTGGAGATGACTGTATAGTGAAAAGGCTTTATCACATTGACTACATTTGTAGGGTTTTTTCCAACTATGAATTCTTTTATGAATTTGGAGATGACTGTATTGTGAAAAGGCTTTATCACACTGATTACATTTGAGGAGTTTTTCTCTAGTATGAATTCTTTCGTGAATTTGGAGAGTACTATGTTTTGAAAAAGCCTTACCACACTTGTTACATTCATAGGGTTTCTCTCCGGTATGTGTTCTTTGATGTAGTTGGAGACTAGTAGGACACTCAAAGGCTTTATCACATTGATTACATTTGTAGGGTTTCTCTCCAGTGTGAATTCCTTCATGCCTTTGAATATCACTATCATTTGCAGAGGTTTTATCACATTGATTACATCCATAGGATTTCTCTTCAGCATATGTTAGTTCATTCCTGCAAAGATAATTGGTAGATAGATAAGCTACATTCATTACACTAATGATTTTTTTATGTATGTGAATTAGTGTCACAATTTTGTCTAATTTTAAACCAGAAGTAGAACTTACAGATTTTTCACTTTGTTTAAATTCATAGTTTTCCCTTTCATTATGGATGTTTCGCAGCTTTGAACATACCTGTGATGCAAAGAGCATTCATTTATTCCATGGCTCACATTATAGCATCTTTTTTCCATATGAGATTTTTCACATATTCGAAGAGAACTGGAAAATCTCAGCTTTACCACTGATTGCATTCATAAGTTTTCCTGTACTATGAGTCATGTTACATTTGTAAAGTGAGCCAGGACAAACAGGAGAATTGCCACATTCCTAGTATTCAGAAATTTTCTGCAGTGTGATTTTGTAGACATATTCCCAATGAAGTTGGAAAACCACTTAATTATATTAGTTTCATTTATTTATATTCCCTTGCTTAGAGGAGACTTTCTGAAGGTGATAGGAATTTTCAATTCACTTATTAATAATAAGCACCTGAAGGAAGTATATATTTATTGTGTTTTCACTATCCTGCTTTCTGTTGTAACACATGTATGGGATGGTATAAAAGGAAATGACCTATGACAGGCATGTAAAATTCACTCAGGCAAAGTAGTCTTGGCTGGATCCTTCCCAGCAGAGTTTCTACAATGATGTGATACCAGAGACCCACTAGAGACTCACTGCTGTTGGTAAGACAGTAAACTTTCTTTCACTTTTTAATTGATTAATAGTTAATAATAAATTAACTGTAAACTTGTATCACATTCAGGAAGTCTGCTCGAAGTGGGGACTACTACAGATCTTCTAATTGTTCTGGGGCAGAGCTATGCTGCCTCTTTCAATATCCCCATGATCACGTGACTTGCTTCCATTTGGACAAATGATAAACCTACTAAAAGAAAATTAACAAATGAAAGGGTTTCATGTTCACACACTTTGACTCTGTTGTTCCTAGACACTCGTGAACCATATTCTGGACAATTATACATTGCCCCCCATTAAAGTTAGCAATGTTACACTTGTAGCACTCGCTACTAACCCTAGTGTTAGCATGGAATATCCTTATGAGAGGTTTGGGACATACATTTATCACATATGCAAGGTGGATAAATTCTGAAATATCTCAGTGGTATGAGACTCAACAGATTGGCATTCGACAGGCTAGTTGTCATGGAGCGATAGCTCAACTTGTAATGTCTGTTAAGACAGTGTTTCCTTGCATTGTTTCTTAGAGGAATGCCTTGCAGGCACAAGTTGGATAACCTGACTCTTAGGTATGTGGATTTATGAGAATTTAATAACAATTAATACACTTAGAGTAGTGCTTTTTTTTTTTACACTGTTGATTTTGTTTAAAATGAATAGGACACATTAAAATTTCTTCAGAGGCATATTTATATCAGCATGCACATGAAAATTACCTTTCATTTCTTCTAGAATCTTGACAGTGTTCTTCAATACTCTGGTCTTCCCAACTGTAGCCTAAAATATGTACCAGAAGACTGTGATATATCATTGAAAGTTAGGCAAAATTTAAGTTACTATCTTCAGAGACCCTGAGAACCATGCTGTATTTCTTCACTCATTCCTCCTTGCTCAAAACTGAAATTACATAAGAGAATCAACCACAACCACTGCAGCTGCCTCCTTGGTTTAAAAGGTGAACCAAAATTCACTGTCTTACCTATCGCAGTGAGGTTGTTGTCCGTCTCCAGCATTCCTTCCGGGAGGAGATCATAATGGAAAGGATCCAGTAAAGTTCCCTCTTCCCAATTGAAGTTCATATGCACATCATCATAACTCACTGCATCCTAAAATATGCCAACAAGTGTACAAGAGAAAGCACGATAGACGACACAGTAAATTTGTACTTCATTGATAATACGTTCGTGTAATTCTGGTGGTTCTCCGACTTACTTCCTCACACAGAAGTTGTAATGTAATTATCAAGTCATTTTAGAAGGAAACTGAATAATGATGCTTGCCTGCTGTCGTTTCTTCGCTCTTTGAATAGGATACAGCCTTGCAAGAGAAACGCCACTTAATAGACATAAAGGGAAAAAATCAAGCAAATGGAAAAACAGTACTGAGTGCACAACAGAGAAACTGGACGAACAATGCCTCAGGAAACAGAGGCATGGTATCTCATTGAAATGGATGCCAGCCTAGTCTATGCAATGAGTTCCAGGAATGCCAGACATACATATTAAGACCTTGTCTCTCCTGCAACAATCAACCAAACAAGAAAGAAAGAGCTCAGAGGCTTTTACTGACGTTCCTGTAAAGAATTACACCTTCATTCGACTTCTGTATTGGTCTTCCAGTAACCTGAAGTACCCCAGCTTAGACTGTAACACTGGTAACATCTTACGAAAAGGGAATGCATGTTTAAAAAGTTACGAACAGACAGATAAAAATATTAGCAATGTAAATGTTTATCATATAAGCAACATAAGGCAGGAGAGATGGCACAGCAGCCAAGAGCTCTTGCTGATCTTGTGAATAATTGGGCTTAATTGCCAGTACTTATGTGCAGGCTCACAACTATCCATTACCCCAAGTTTAGGAGTTCTGATGCCATCTTCTGACTATTGTGAAGATTAGAAACTCAACGGCATTCATATTCATGAAAACAGGCATGAAGTCTCATTGATTCATATTCCTTCATTCAAAAAAATCAAAACGTACACAACAGGTAGCAATAATGTCATGCACCTGCAATCCAATGACTCAGATGGCTCCTGAAGTATTAATGTCATGAACACATGCCATCCTGAGAAACAGAATATACTGACAATTTTCAAAATTCAAATGTAGATGTAGTTGAAGTGCAGCATAAGAGCATATGCTTGACATGAACAAGAAACTTACATACCAGGCAATTCAGCCACTACACAAATAAAAACTGCCAGGCATATTGGCCCACATTTAATCCCAGCACTCTGTAGTCAGAATCAAGTGGACTTCTAAGTTCAAGGCCCGACTGGACTACATACATACTTTCAGGACAGCCAAGTTGACATAGAAAACCTTTCTCTTCAAAAACAAAACCAAAAAGAACAAGATTAAAAATTAAAAAAATCAACAGGCTAGCAAAATACCTTAGAACTGAATAGCAATTGCTTCTACTTTCTCTTGTGTGATTAAGCTACAGAGTCTATAAGCATGAAGGCAAGGCAGTGCTGAGGCCTTCTCTTTGTGGCAATTGACCCACTTGCAGCCATTTTTGTATTCAGCTTCCACTGTGTTTACAAGGTAAATTTAAGTTCAAGAAATTTTTCCTCTACTGCCCAGAAGTAGTCATTCATAGGTGATACTATCAAACCTGGCCAAGGGGCAAAGTTAATCTTGCCTTTCCTGATGACTCAGCGGTGTCATAATTGATGCTGTTACCTCCTCCCTTGGCTACACTCTGGTTGCACTCTGTTATCTCTGCACTTGGCTGTTCCTTGATTGTACTCTCGAAGATACTAACTCCTGCCACCTACCTCACTCAGAACCAATCAGCTAAAAGGTTAGCTGAAATTTTGTCAGTTTGTCCAGTTGGACTTGGCCAATATTCCAACTCCCTCCCCCCAAAAATCAATGTCCCCAGTATCAGCAGGAAGTAGCCAAGGACCAGTTTCTTCACCCATTATCCATTCATTATGAACAGAAGGCTGGAGTGTTAGGTCTCTGCTGCAGGACTTGGCTAGCATACCCTGCCCTCTACCTAGTGGTGGAGCATCTTTTCTCCCAGAGGCCCTTCACTATGTAATCCAGACATCTTGGTTCCACTGGCCTTTTTTCCGTCTCCTCTCTTTTCCCCTTCTTGCTCACTCTCTTTCCCTTCCCCTCCATCTTCCTCCTCCTCAGCACAGGCTCTCCCTCCCTCTCCCATGCTGTTCCCTCATGAATTAAAGATGCACATCATAAACAACAGAAAGCTTACATACTCAGGGAAACTGAACAACTCTCTACTGAATGAAAAGTGAGTTAAAGGCCTTTTAGCTTACATGCCTCTGTAATAAAACTTGGCCTACATATTCCTTAGATAATGGTTCAACTTGGCCAATTAATGGCACATTAAATCCTAATAATTTATGGGATCTTTTTAATTCCTGTCAATAATCTGGTAAATGGAAGGAGGTTTCTTATTGTTCAAGCTTTCTCCCTTTTCCACTCCAAACCTTCTCTCTGTTCTTCCACTTCTTCTAGCTGTAAAGTCTCAACCTCAAGAGTTCTCTACCTTTGACCCTGAAGATAAACCTCCACCTTGCCATTCTCAACCTCCGGGTCCTTCTCAACATCAAGCTTCTTCTCAGCCTCCATCTTCCCCCAAACTCTGTCTTCCCCCTCCTCCTCTGCTTCTTCCTCTTTGGCTTCTCCAGCATCCTCACCCACCTCTCCAGCCCCTTCCCCAGCAACAGGCTATCCTACTCATCTTACTTTGGAACCTACTTTTACCCCAACAACAGTTATTAGGCCCCCTGCTACCCACTCTCTAACCCCCTTCTTTTTTTACTCAGCATAAACCAGCCTCAATTGTTCACTTGTGGATGGCTTGATTAGACTTTCTCAAGTAGAAAAGAGACTAGGATCCTAGATCTCTAATCCTTCTACTTTCATTAAAGAATTTCAATATCTCACTCAATCTTATAGTCTTACCTTCCATGATATATATATGATTCTTACCCTAACCTGTTACCTAAGGAGTGCAGGTGAGTTTGGGAACTGGCTAGAATGCATGCAGATGAGGTTCACCAAACAAATGAAGCACACCTCATTGGTGCTGAGGCAGTGCCTGACCAGGATCCACAACGGGCTTATATATTACCCGGGAAGGGATTCTAGACAGAGACTAGTTCGTGACCTGCCTCCTGGCTGGTCTCTGCAAGGCTGCCCTCAAGCCAGTTAATTATGAGAAGCTCCAGGAGGTCATTCAGAACAAGAATAAAAACCTTTTCAATTCCTAGGGTATCTTACAAAGGCCCTCTTACAACATACTAATCTAGACCCCAAAAGTACAGAGGTTAGGAAATTTCTGATGACCTATTTTTTTCTCCCAGAGTTACCCTGACATTAGGGCTAAGCTTAAATGATTGGAGAGAGGACCTCTGATTCCACAGGCAGAAGTCTTAGTGCTGGCCTTTAAGGTGTACCATGGGAGAGATGACAAAGCCTGCAAGAAAAAATACCAAATGTTGGCTAAGGTTATCCGACTGGCCTCAGCCACTACTCAGGCCCCCTTTCCTCCTAAGGCATGAAGACCATGAGGTCCTTTTTTCAAATGTGTTCACTGCGCCTGGTTTTGGACATGGCACCGAAGCTGTGTCCAAAATGCCACCAAGAGGGACATTGGGGTGCTGACTGCAACCTTTTCTCCCATGATATGGGGGCATACCAAACTGCCCTTTAGCTGATATCCTAGGCCTGGCTATGGACGAATGAAGGTGTCCAGGTTCCCTTGACCCAACCAGTGCCATCACTAGCAGGGAGCCAAGGGCAATTATCATGGTACTGGGGCAGCTCATCTCCTTCCTTGTGGACACTGGTGCTACTTACTCAGTCCTGATGGAGTATTGGGGACCAACCTCTCCTTCTAGTTCCCCTATTTTCAGAGTACGGAGACAGCCTTGCCAGCCTTGTCAGACTCCACCACATAACTGTATTTTTTGAGGTGTTCCCTTGACTTATTCCTTTTTAGTGATGCCAATCTGTCCAGTTCCCTTACGGGGAAGAGACTTTTTAGCCAAAGTGCGTGCCTCTAGCTCCTTTACTCCACCCATTTGCCTGACCCCAAGGTTCCTCTCTCTTCCTTCTTCTAGCTACACTACCTACCAGTTGTGACATGTCACTTCCTTTACCAGCCTTCCAAGTGGACCTCTCAAGGCTGGGATGTCCAAAACCCCTCTGCTGCTAGGCACCATTCCCCTGTAGTCATTCAGCTACAGGGCCTCATTTGGTATATTACTGGGAATGGAAAAGTAATAACCTCTAAGGTTATTGCCTCTCTGTCATCCCTCTTAAATACAAACCTATCATTTTGTCTCCCACATCAGACTATGACCTCGGCCCACAAGCTCCTTAATGTGACCCAACCAGGCTGTTTTAAAGCTTGCTGACTGTGTGTCCCACCTGGGAACAACTCAGAACTACCACTGACGGCTTCTCTGATGACTCTGTCAAGTAACCGTACTTCACCATTCATTAACTGCCCTGGCTCTGATGTTGCCACAACCTACCTTTTTCATATCAGCCTCCTTGGCGTGGCAAGCTGTTTCAAGGCATCCAGGACATATTCCGTAGGAATGCTAAGTTCCTTAGACTGTAATAAAACTATAATCCTTGATACCTTATCTCAACCCCAATGCCCTACTGGTAATACCTCAATTCTTTGTGGTACTCAGGCTTACCATTGTCTGCCTGCTGGTTGCTCAGGAGTTTGCATGCTGGTGATCCTTTTCCCTGAGCTGAGGGTGATAAATGAAAAGGACCAATCCCAGTCGTGGACTAAATAGCTGCTCAGGAGGATAAGAAGGCAATTCAAATCTTGCCCCTCTTGGCTGCTGCAGGAATCATGGCAGCTGTTGGGACTGGGACAGCAGGACTAGACACTTGACTAACTTTGTATTATCAGCTTTCGTCCCAGTTCATCCAGGACCTCCAGCAAGTGGCTCAGACAATACTAACTTTCCAAGGGCAGATTGACTAGCTGGCAGCAGTGTAGTACTTCAAAATATGCATTCAAGACATGGATTGGATCTTCTCGCAACTAAAGAAGGTGGACTCTGCATCTTCCTCCAGGAATGCCGTTTTTATGGCAACCAGTTGGGTATAGTAAATGACAAAATTACTCCAGGCAAATCTATAAAAGTGAAGGGAACAGATCAAGGCCTCTAGCTCTTGGGCCTTTGAGAACCCCAAGTAGAAATGAATTCTGCCCTTCCTCACACCTCTTCTGTTTGCGCTTCTGCTTTTGCACCCCTGGATTGACCAGGGCTCTTTTCTGAGACTGATATTCCAACCAAGGACCATTTATGGAGATAACCTAGAACCCCTGCTCAGATGTAGCACATGGCAGCTCAGTCTCCAACTGGTTTCCCTAGTAAGGAGAACAGGTACTGTCTCTGACATGAACTCAGTGTCTGGCTCTTTGATCACCTCCCCCTGAGGGGAGAGCAGCCTTACCAGGCTACAGAGGAGGACAATGCAGCCAATCCTGATGAGACCTCATAAGACAGGGTCAGATGAAAGGGGAGGAGGACCTCCCCTAACAGTGGATTTGTAGAAGAGCATGGGAGGAGAGGAGGGAGGGAGGGTGGGGTTGGGAGGTAATGAGGGAGAGGGTTATAGATGGAATAAAAAATGAATAAACTGTAATCAGTACAAAATATAAAAATACATAGATAAATAAAATAAAATAGGCAAAAAGAAAACTTTACAAAGACTAAATGAGAGACAGACTTGGTTCTTTGAAAAAAAAATCAACAAAATAAGAGAAATGTTTATCCTAACTAATTAAAAGACAAAAATATGTCCACATTGACAACACAACAATTAGGAAACTTTGAGAATCACAAAGATATGTTTTTAAAATCTATACTCCACAATATTTAAAAATCCTAAAAAAAATTATTTTCTCAATATGTGCAACTAATGAAAATTAAATCAAGATGATACAAAAATTTTAAATAGACCTATTACTCCTAATGAAATATAAGAAGCCATTACAAGACTTTGAAAATAAAAAGGCAGGGCTCATTGGTTATAGTGCAGAACTCAACCAGACTTTTAAAATTAACATGCAAAATACCCTAAAAAATAGAAATAAAAGAAATATTACTAAAATGATTATATAAAGCCACAGTTACCCTGATACCAAAAGCATACTTAACAAAGAAAAAGTATAACAGAATACTAGATTCCAAAATACTCATGAAAATACTTGCAAACTGAATCCGAGAACACATCAAAAAGATCACCCACAGTGATCAAATAGGATTCTTCTCAGAGATGCAAGAAGGTCCAAAATAAAAAAAAAAAAAGAAAATCAGGAAATATAATCCAACACATAAACACACACACAAACACACACAAAACCTGACAGGAAAAAAAAAACCACACATGATCATCTCATTAGACAATGAAAAAGCCTATGCATCATAAAAGTCTTGGAGAGGTGAGGGAAAAAAGCAATAGACCTAAACATAATAAAAAAAATTATAGCAAACCCACAGCCAACATCAAATTAAATGGAAAGAAACTCAACGCAATTCCACTGCAATCAAGAACAAGGCAAGGCTGTCCATATCATAATAAATATATTACTTGAAATTCTAGCTAGTGCAATAAAGCCAACTGAAGGAGATCAAGGGGATATCATTTTGAAATGAAGAAGTCAAAATATTCCAAATAGAAGAGGATATGATAGCATACATTAGGGATCCCAAAAATTCCACTACCACCTTCCTGCAGCTGACAGATACTTTCAGGAACATGGCTACATTCAAGATTTAAAAAAATCAGTAGCCCTCCCTTATCTCCTATATAAAATGACAAATGAACTGAGAAAGACATCAACAAAACTACACTGAACAACAGCCTCCAACAATACAAAATATCTAAGTGTAACTCTAAAAAGAGCAAGTGAAAGAACTGTATGATGAAAACTTCAAGGTTCTGAATAAGGAAATTGAAGAAAGCACCAGATGATGGAAAGATATTCAGGTATTCCTAGGATTAGGACAGTAAAAATGGCCATGTCACCAAAAGGATTCTACAGAATCAACACATCCTATCAAAATTCTAAAAGAAAGGAAGAAAGAAAGAAGAAGAAGAATGAAAGAAACAGTGAAAGAAAGAAAAAGGAAGAATGAAAGAAACAGTGAAAGAAAGAAGAATGAGAAAGAAAGAAAGAAAGAAAGAAAGAAAGAAAGAAAGAAAGGTTTACAAATCCTTAAAAGACAATCCCCAGCTTTTTATGGAGTAACAAAAACAGGATAGCTAAAAGATTCTGGAATAATGAAAGATGTACACGGTATCCATATAAAAACAGACTCCTTGAACATAGAATCAAGTTGAAGACCCAGATTTCCATCCACAGACAAACATCTGGTATTTATTAAGAAATCCAGAAATAAACATGTTAAATGACAAGGGAAGAACTTGGGGAAGATACTGGAGAAACCGGGCCTCTCTGAGTCTGGCACCCTACCACGCCTGTTTCTACATTCAGGCTCCTGCTGCAAATGTTTTGTGAAAATGCAGCCCCGATAGAGAACTTGTTCAGATGCCACCGCCAGGTTCCTGGAGTGGCTAGGAGAAGGGAC